CCGGGCGGCGGGGTTGGGCCAGGGAGCTCGTGTGCTTGGCCGGCCCGAGTGCAGGAGCCGATGGCGGACCGCTCGGCCTCTCCCGTCCCTTCGACCCCGGTGACCCTGCCTGGCCCTTGTCCGGGGCTTGGCACCGGTGGGGACCACGGTGGGGGTGGGGGCGGAAACGCCTGCACCTGCGCCCAGGGCAACGGGACCCGCGAGTGACCTGGTCTCATGCGTCGGGCAAGCAGGTCTGGGGAAGGGGGCAGGAACGTCCCACGGAGGGTGGGTGGGGAGGGGTCTCCAAGAAGCTTTCCCGGCCAGGTCCACCCCACACCCTCCCCACGTGTGGGACTCTAGCCGCAGTCTCGCCGTGGCAGGGCCGGGCGCTAGGTCCAGGGTGACCTGCCAGGCGCAGACAGATGTGGAGTTACATAAGGGAAGATGAGGGGTGCCAGCGGCTCAGCCGGGAGGGGAGCGCGCCCACCGGGGCTTGGAGGCCCCAGGTAGAGTAGAAGAGCTCCCAGCAGCTGCGAGCCTGACCAGGACCCCCGCTGGACACGCGCTGGGGGCGGTCATTACTGCGGCGGACAGAGGTCACTGCGCTCGAGCGCAACCAAGGCGGCGGCGGAGGCTGCGTTAGCGCCTGCGGGAGGGGGCGGGGGAGGAGAGGGGCGGGGAGAGCGTTCCATCCCAGATACAGGCTCAGATAGACAGGGTCAAGGACAGATGCAGCCTGAGACAGTCAAAGACAGACAGACACGCCTACACTCAGACACACAGACACCCACAGCCCAGGGAAGCCACCCAGCGCCAGGGGCCACCGCTGCAGTTAGACACACACACATCAAACAGCAGACACCAGGCAGCAACCACAAGAGGGAAGCGGCTCCCTCTGTCGCCAGCAGCGCACAGTCGCAGGAACCTGAGCTCACAGAGACTCGTGCCTGAGGGAGGGGGTGGGGTGGCGGCCCAAGGCTGAGGCTCCCAGATGGACGGTTGGAGGGACTGAATACTGGACCCCAGGCACAGGAACCCCCATACTTCCAGCAGCTCCCAGTCATGGGGACCCACTCCTCCCCCTGCCCCAAGATGTGCTGCAGAAACTTTAGGGGAGTGGGGGGCTGTGCTCCCTCTACTCTCTCAATAGGGCCAGGGCACCTACCTGCATCCACCCAGGAAGGAGGCCCCGGGCCCCAGGCCCAGCCAGCCCGCGATTTCCCGGCTCTGTCAGCCTGTGCTGGGAGCAGGGGCGGAGGCCCTCTTCAGGTGCCCGGCTCCACAGACCCCCCCACCAGCAGCTGCTGCACTTCGGCCACCCAGTCTCCCCACACCACCCCAAGTGGCCAGGAGTGGGAAGTGGAGATGGGAAGTTCCCGGAGCTGGGCAGTGAGGGTGGCTGACCCCACTGCCCCCCACCATCCTGCCCCCCCGGGGCCTCTGCTGCTTGGCCTGGCCCTGCCTCTTAGTCCTTAGCCAGCAGCTAGCTCCCTGCTGAACAGGCCGCTGAGCCCGCTGGCCCAGCTCCTCCCCAACCACCCCTGCAGTGCTTCACGGGGGGCCACCTGAGGCCTCTGGAGGAGGGATCGGAGGGGGATAAGACAGGGGCTCTCTTGCTCCCCCCTCTAGGAGCCCCTCCCTCAATCTCGTGTCTGCATCCTGCGGTGAGGCTTCCACAGTGCCGACCCCCCAGGAAGGAGGGGAGGCCATAGCTATGGTCCTGTGACTGTTCTCAGTCAGGGATGGGGCCTCTGTAGAGGATCAGTATTGGGGGCCAATGCGCACCCTGTGCTGAGGCTGAATCACCAATGGGACCTTCTAGTCAGATGGGGCTCGGGGGAGGGGAGCTGAGGCTGGAGAGCCAGGCAAGGTGTCACCGGCATCAGGCCAGCGGGAGGCTGTCCAGGCATCGTGCACTGTCCTGGGCTCGCAGGTCCTGCTGCCAATATCCCGCCTTAGCAGAAACCCTTTCCTCTCTTTCACCAGCTGTGTGCCTGTGGCTGCAGATACAAGGCACTGCCCTGCTGTGTGGGGACGGGGCTCGCCTATGACAGGCAACAAAGGGCAGCACACTTGAGCTGCTTGTCACGCCAAGGTGGTTCCTGGGCCCCTGTGGAGCTCTGGGTCCAGACACAGTGTCAACTCCCCAGGACCCTCCGTCTGCCTTTGCTCTCTCTCCACAGGAGCCCCCTGAATATGGGATGGCAGGCATATGTATGCGTATAGATAGGTATTTCCTTGTCTTTCCCCCAGTGACATTCCGCACCAGCTGAGTGCATCCCAGTGAGCTCAGGACGGCTCCCAAGACTCCGAAGCAGGGCCTGCCCTTCCCTGCCTTTGGGGACAGGGCAGAAGTTGTGCCAGACATGCATGGCAGGCAAGAGATGAGGGGTGCAGTCTTGTCCACAGTCTGCTGAGTAGGAGACCTGGGCATCTCCACCCTGAGGGGTCATCCCTGTGTTTGGCTGCAGGTGGCAGATAGCACTCACAGGGCCTGGGAAGGAGGACTGTTTCCTGTTGCCCAGGCTGGAGAGTGCAAGGGTAGCAGACTTCAGGAACAGCTGCATCCAGGAGCTCTGGGAGCACCGCTCCTTCCTCCAAGCCTTTTCACTGGGCCCACTTGGTTCTGTCCCCAGGTCACAGCTGTCCCCATGGCTCCAGGCTTCTGTCCTGGCCTCTCAGACACTTGGTACTCTTGGGCATGAAATGGGCCTCCCAACACATCCACCTCACAGGTTGGGTGTGAGAAGCCATGCAGCACTCTGAGGGCTCGGTACGTGTCTGCTAAGTGCAGAAGGAATTGCACCCAACCAGGTTCCCCGCTGCATTAAGGGCGCACAAGGACCAAGGAATGACAGAGAAATGAGAAAGGAAGAGAGAAGGGCCTGTCTCTCCCTGCCTTCTCCAGGCCTCAGCCACACGGGCTGGGAGGGGATCAGAGGGACCGCTCGGGCCCCACCCAGCTGGGGAAAGCTTCCAGCTGTCCAGGACTGTGGGGGCTGTGGTCCCATAAGGCTGCAGTGCATACTGCCAGCGACCTGACCCTGAATCCAGCCCTGTAGTTGATGTTAGGTCCTGGGGGGACGCCAGGCCTAGCCAGAGGAAGGGACAAGCCAGAGTGACCCAGGGCCAGCCCTGGGGCTGGAGGAAATGGGCAAGGGGGAATATATGTGTCTGGGCCGTGGGCAGCTCCAGGGGAGGTTAGCATAGTGCTGGAGGGGCACTCTTAGGGACCAAGGCAGGGCGCCAGGGAGCCAGAGGGTCAGCTGAGTCTCTGGACCCCCCAGGGCGGGGGTCGGTCTGGGCAGAGGATGGAGGCCTCGGTGGCCATGCTGGCCTGCTCCATGTGGGGATGAAGTAGGGACCAACAACCCCACCCTGACCTCAGAGGCCCCCTGAAAGCCAGCCCTGGCCCCTGAAGCCTGGCACAGTCCCTTTCTGTCCTCAGCCTGCTCCTAGGAACAGCCCTTCAGGCCCAGCCCTGGTGGCATCTTCAGCCCCTGGCACCACACCCCCTGCCAGGACGGTCCAGGCCTCCCCCACAGGTCATTGACTTTGAGGGCTGGACAGTGTGTGCACACACGTGTGTGCATGTGTGTGCACATAGGCTTCTAGATCCTGGGTGCCTTCTGGGGACTGTGGGAGCGCTCCAGGCAGGGTTGGGGTCCAGGAAACTGCTTCATAAGGGAAAAGACAGGCAAGCCCTCTGTGGTGGTTATGTTGTGTGTCAACTTGGCTGGGCCTGGTTGAGTGGCTGGGCAGCTGGTGGTAGTTATTCGCCATGATGAGACTGGCAATCAGCTCCATGGTGGGATCTACACAAGCAGCTGAGTAGCTGCCTTTGGGTATGTGGTCTGCTTTCCATATATAAGGAGAAGCCTTGGGAATGCTCGCTAGCTTATGGCACCTTGAACCCTGCATGTAGCCGTGTCGTTGTTCAGCAGCCTGCCGTGCTCTGCCGACCTTGGGACTTACAATGGACTTGAATTAATGGCCTGCTGTGTGGTTTGGTAATATCAGGACTGTGCCTTTTTACTTGTCAATCTTGGGCTTGGCAGCCTCAGCAGCCTGCAGCCATCTGAGTGAAGAAAAGCCTCTAGCTCCAGTGGGCTGGGAGCTGGAGGCAGAGCTGAAGCCCAAGGCTGAGGGGCTTTCACTCAGCCCCTGGAGCCTGGCACTTGAAACTCGGACTTCTGGCCTCCCGGACTGTAAGAGAATAAACTCCTGTTTGTTAAGGCCCTCCCATTGGTGGTATATTTTTGTCAGAGTGGCACTAGGGAACCAGAACACCCTCCCACCCCAGTTTCTGCTGCAGGCGCTTCTCTGTTCCCCGAACCCCAGAATTGGTGCAGCTCCTGGGGGAGCAGTGTGCCTGCCAGCAAAATAAAGAAGCTCAAGGGGGCCGTGCTGGGTGGGGGCACTAGAGTCACTTAACGAAGACACCGCCAGGGCCTGCAGAGTGAACGCTGTCACTCCCGAGGGGCGAGTTGTATGTGTCTACATGTGTGCTTGTCTAGTGTGTCTGTGTGTCTCTATGTGTGTTGTTGCCCACACGTGTATGCACGTCGGTCTGTGTGTGCCTATGTGTGTCTGCGTGTCTATATGTGTGCTTGTCTGTGTGTATGCTTGTCTGATGTGTCTGTGTGCCTGTGTGTGTGTTCTTGTCCGTGTGTGTGCACGTGAGTCTGTGCGTGCTTATCTATGTGTGTCTGCTTGTGCCTGTCTCTGTGTGTCTGCGTGTATCTGTGTGTCTCTGTGTGTATGTGTGTCTGCTTGTGCCTGTCTCTGTGTGTCTGCGTGTATCTGTGTGTCTCTGTGTGTATGTGTGTCTGCTTGTGCCTGTCTCTGTGTGTCTGCGTGTATCTGTGTGTGTGCGCCTATCTCTGAGTGTCTGTGCATCTTGGTGTGTGCGTTGTGTCTGGTGTGTCTGTGTGCCTATGTGTGTGTTCTTGTCCATATATGTGTGCATGTCAGTCTACGTGTGCTTGTCCATGTGTGTCTCTGTGTCTGTGTGCATGTGTCTCCATGTGTGTCTGTGTATGGATCTCTGTGTGTATTCCTGTGTATGCACAGGGGTCTGTCCACATCTGTGTATGTGTACGTGCATCTCTGTGTATGTGCTTGTACATACGTGTGTGTGTGTGACTGTGCGCTCAACCCTGCCTCCCCTATTCTCCCACAGCCCTCCACCCAGCCCTGACCTCCTCTCTGCCTCTCTGCTCGGACAGCTGGTCTCTTGACAAGGTTCTTCCAGGTGACACCCAGCAGACTGCAGCCCGTGATGGAGGGAGGGCCTTGAGCCCAACCGCAGGTCTGACTGATAGCCCCGAAGTGATGTCGTGATGTCCCAGGACCACTCCCAGCAGATGGCCACAGGGAATTGCAGGGTTAATGCCCCCTCACACCCCCCATCACCCCCTCATAAAAACCTGGAACTTGGTCTCCTTTGGGCCTCACACAGCCCTGAGGATGCCGGCCTGGAGGCCTTCCACGGCTGCCTCAGATCGCAATCACTAAGTGGCGGGGCCTGGACTCGGGGCTGGGGCTGGGCCTGTGGGCCCCCGCTGCCTGCCTAGCTGACCCGAGCCTCCTCTGCAGTCAGGGGCATTTATTGAGCGCCCACTGAGTACAGCTTGGCTAAGCCTGGCGGCAGCTTGCCCCCAACACCAGCGAGAGCATGCTTTGTCTCCTGGGATGTGTCAAGGAGCACCAGACCCCAGGGGAAGCCCTGGCCCCATGTGCACTGCCTTCCCTCGGCAGCGTTGGCCAAGTGGCCTATGGCCTCTTATCAGCCCTACATCTTCCCCAGAACAGGCCTGGTGCCTGCCCGGTGGCCTGGCTGCCTCAGGCCCTCCTGAAGCCAGGAAGTGGAATGGTAGCGCCCCTCAGCCCTGTTCCAGCTGTTAGCCGCCCACTCAGGACAGCAGGATGGATCCCAAACCCCTCGCTCACACAGGATTGGGGAGGTCAAGATGTCAAGAGCAGAGCATTAAACCAAAGGTGGGGCTCTGAGCAATGGCCCGGGGTTCAGCCCGAGGCCCACTCTGGCCCTTCGTGGCCCCTCTACTGTGGGCTCCACAAGGTGGGGCTGGGCAGGCCTTGGCCACCACGACCACATCCTCCCCTCCCACCGCTCTCTTCCACGGATGGAATTGGGTGAGCACAGCCCTTCCCCAGAGGGGCCCCGCAGGCCTGCTGTCTCTTACCCGAGCCCCCCCTCAGTCCTGCTGACCTGCCCCTCCTCTTGTTAGGAGCGCTCGGCTGCTGGGGGGTGGGGGGCCCGGCTCACATTGCACTTGGTCCCCATGACTTCTGTCCCCGCTCTGCAGGCGCATTTAAACTGTGCACCCCCCTCCGCCCCCTCGCCTGGCAGCTCCCTGGGTGCCAGTGGCTCGGCCAACGCAATTGGCTCCTGACGAGTTAAAATTAACCCAGCCCAAGCTGTCTCTTCCCGCTCTGCACACGGATGCCCACACCCCTCTGGCTCCACATGGGTCCCTGGGCAGGGCCACAGACGTTGAGCCAAGCCCCTGCCGTGCCCGCCGTGAGCCCCTTCAGCCTGGCTCTGCGGGCCTGTGCCCAGCTCTCTGTGGCACCTGGCACCGAGCACAGGACAGAGAGCGGTGAGTGCTTTATTTGTGGTGCAGCTGGAGAAGAATCCAGAAGGCACTTCCTGGCCGCTGGGTACAGGGGAAGAGAGTCCATGGCCCTGTGGGAACCCCTGCATCTGGGGCCTCCGACACCCTGGCGCAGCACGGGCTGGCGCATAGTAGGGCCACAGGCTGTGGTGCTGCTGGAGGCACCAGGGACTTGGGAGCAGAGCATCCTGCCAGGTGTTCAGCACTGTCTTTGTTCCTCTCCTCGCCAATGCAGGGACTCACAGTCCGTCTTGAGAGATATCCAAGTCTCTAGGGCCCACTCTGGCTGAAGGCGCAGACCTGGGCACTGCAGGAGCTCTGGTCTCAGATCAGGGAGTCTGTCAGGAAAGGCCAGCCAGGCAGGCCCCGCTGGCAAATGGCTACCCGCTAACCTTCTCTCTCCAGTTCCGTTTTATTCAGAGCGGCAGCGCAGTCCCCTGCAAGGCCGCTGCTCCCACCCGGGGCATGGCTGGGCCGAGGTTCTGGCCAGCAAGATGTGAGCAGAAGTGTGTGTTTGTATCTCTAGAGACCCAGCCTCCAAGGGAGCTGGCTTACCCGGTGCAGTGCCACTACCGCCCTTCCTCCTTCCTCCTGGTTGGAATGTACATGTGATGGCTGGAGCAGCAGCAGCCGTTTGGACCATGAGGTGACACTGAGGCTGGAAGCCAGCATTTGGAGAGTGAAATGGTCAGGCAGGAGCCAGGTCCCTGATGATGCCTGTGTCACCTCTGGAC